GAAAGGAATCAGTAAATAGTGTCTAATTTATGAGCAAAAAACGAAAAAAAAAAAAAAAAAGACAAAAACACTCAGTAAAAAATATACTAACTATACACCAAAAATAAGGGTTTAGGGTTTAGGGTTTAGGGTTTAGGGTTTGCAGGTGTACCTTCATGAGCACTCTACGTATTGGAGTATTCCCACGGATGTCTGCAACCAACAAAGAAAAACAACAGGAGAAAGAAACCCTCTAAACCCTAAACCCTAAACCCCAAACCCCAAACCCTAAACCCCAAACCCTAAACCCTAAACCCTAAACCCTAATTCGGCTCACCATACAACGCCACAGGATATAAGAGAGAGGGAGGAAGAGAGGGAACAGAATATATAAGATAACATTTAATAGATACATAAAAAACCATTGAGGGAGACGAAGCTAGGGTTTAGGGTTTAGGGTTTAGGGTTTAGGGTTTAGGGTTTGGTGCTTGCCAAAGAGGTGACGCTTCCAATGGTAATCAAGGCCCGTCACTGCTGAATCTGTCGTGAAGACATTCACGGGCTGTGTACAACAAACACCAAACCCTAAACCCTAGTAAACCCTAATAAACCCTAATAAACCCTAATAAACCCTAGTAAACCCTAATAAACCCTAATAAACCCTAATAAACCCTAATAAACCCTAATGAACCCTAATAAACCCTAATAAGCCCTAACCTGTGGTTCAAGTCCTCTATGATGAATAGTATCTTGTCCTTGTTGTTGTATATCTAATAATCCCTGATTAGTGTTTAGGGTTTGTTGTTCTTGTGTATCTAAATAAAGAAAGTTACTTCTTGTTGGTATTTTATATTGTTTTATCTTCTTATCATCACCACCACTAATTAAATATCCATCTTGTGGTGATACAGCCAATCCTGAGGTGTATAGACACCATAAATATGTATATATACAATTACTATACCTGCTGCTGCTCCTGCTGCTGTTGTTGTTGCTGCTGCTGCTGTTGCTGCTGCAGCAACAGCAACAGCAGCAAGAGGAGTAAAGCGGGCACAGAATGAGCAGCTATTTATACAGCAGGAGTAGACAAAGAAGGAGAAGCATCAGCAGCAAGAGCAGCAACAGCAGCAGCAGCAGCAGCAGCAACAGCAGCAGCAGCAACAGCAGCAGCAGCAGCAGCAGGTTACCTCTGACGAATCCATCATGTGCCTTAATTTTAGCTGTACATTGTTTTGTGGATAAATTCCATGCACAAATCTCTCCATTACACGAACTAGAAAATATTGTTGCCTGCACCAGCAGCAGCAGCAGCAGCAGCAGCAGCAGCAGCAGCAGCAGCAGCAGCAGCAGCAGCAGCAGCATTAGTAGTAGTAGTAGGAGGAGGAGGAGTAGAAGCAACAGGAGGAGGAGATGATTTCTCCTTATTGTCTGCATTTTCTTTTCCTATCTCCCTATAATATAAACTCTAAAAAAAAAAAATAATTTAGGGTTTAGGGTTTAGGGTTTAGGGTTTAGGGTTTAGGGTTTACGGGATGTGTTCTTGATTTAACAATAGATTTAACACCATCAGTGTGTGCCTCAAGAGAAGCAACAAAGGGTTTAGAGAATAATTTCTTTAATTTTGTTGCTACTAATGCACGAGCATACTCCCTCTCCTGCAGCAGCAGCAGCAGCAGCAGCAACAGCAGCAGCAGGGAGAACAGCAAAAGAAGAGGCAATATATAGGTGTATACTAGGGTCTACGCTAGGGTTTACGATAATTAGGGTTTAGGGTTTAAGGATATTATATTAGGGTTTAGCAGCAGCAACAACAACACAACAAATGGAACAACAACAAGAGCAGCAACAGCAACAGCAGCAGCAGCAGCAGCAGCAGCAGCAGCAGCAGCAGCAGAATTACCTGCTGGAAGGGATGAAGTCTTTTATCATTAGAAGAAGAATATCTATGAATAGATCCAGCACCTAATAAACCCTCCTCCCTCTGTAGTACGCGAATCTTCATCTTCTTCCTGCTGCTGCTGCTGCTGTTGTTGCTGCTGCTGCTGCTGTTGCTGTTGTTGCTGTTGTTGGTGGTGCTGCTGTTACTGCTGCTGCTGCTGCTGCTGCTGCTGTAGGGAAAAGCCGAACGGTAGATACAGCCAAGAAGGTACCTTTAAAAAACTTCCTGCTGAGGGTTTAGGGTTTAGGGTTTAGGGTTTAGGGTTTACGTATAGGGTAGAGGGTATTGAGGTCCACTAAGTAATCCTTATAAACCCTTGTTGGGAGGTTATAAGAAGATATAAAAACCCTAAACCCTAAACCCTAAACCCTAAACCCTAGATTTGCAAGGAAGAGAGACTTCAACTTGAGGGCCCCCTGTGGGCCCTCAGGTGTACATACACCTGAATGCTGCTGCTGCTGCTGCTTGAGGGCTGCTGCAGCAAATAAAACAATTAATTAAATATAAAGGTAAAAAAAGAAATTATATTCTTTCTTCTTTTTAAATAGAAGACTGTTGTTGCTGCTGCTGCTGCTTCTCTGCATGCATGCGCAGGTTGCTGCTGCTGCTGTTGCAGCTGTTGCTGCTGCTGCTGCTGCTGCTGTCCCGCATCCGGCGCTGCCGCATCCGGCTGCTGCTGCTGCTGCGCGAGGCGGCGCTGCTGTCTTTCGTTAATTGGATCAAGTCTAAAAGCAAACATTATCCAAACCCTAAACCCTAAAGCCTAAACCCTAAACCCTAAACCCTAAGACACCGCAGCAACAGCGGCTGAGACCGTCAACCGGATAGACATCTCCTTACCCAGGGGGCCCCTGACGGGCCTCGGGTGTACATACACCTCAGCAGCAGCAGCAACATTATCTGCAGTGAGTTGCTGCTGCTGTCTACTGCGGCAGCAACAACAACAGCAGCAGCAGCAGCTAGCACAATAGCGGAACCTACGGTCGCGAGCTGCTGCAGCTGCAGCTGCAACAGCGGTCTCTACGAGCAACAACAACAACAACAACAACAACAGCAGCAGCAGCAGCAACTGCAGCAGATGCGCTCGTGACTTACCTCTTCGCTGCTGCTGCAGGGAAGAGACAGCAAACGGCGCCACGAGACGCCTGCAGCAGCAGCTGCTGCTGCAACAGCAGCTGTCCCACGGCATCAGCAGCAGCAGCAACAGCAGCAGCAGCAACAGCAGCAGCAACAGCAGCAGCAGCAGCAACAGCAGCAGCAGCAGCGATAGCAGCAGCAAGACCTCAACTGGTCATTTGCGGCCAAATTCATTCAGCCTGAGTCATTTGCTGCTACACCTGTTTGCTGCTGCAACCACAGCAGCAAAAGCAGCAGCAGCAACAGCAGCAGCAGCAACAGCAACAGCAGCAACAGCAGCAACAGCAGCAACAGCAGCAACAGCAGCAGCAGGAGAAGATGGGTAATACAGAGAGTGCATCGCATGTACAGGAGCAGGTTGCGCTGCTAACTTCTTCGGATCTACACAAGCAACCACCAGTAAACCCTAAACCCTAAACCCTAAACCCTAATTAATTGTATCCTTAATTGTCTCCTTAATTAATTAATTAATTAATTAATTAATTAATTGTCTCCTTTTTTTTGTGTGTCTCCTTGTGTATAAATTGTCTCTTTTATAGGATTTTTGGGTATCCCTTTTCTTTGGATTAGGGTCTCTTCCTTCTCCTCCTCCTTCTTCTTCTTCTTCTTCTTCTTCTTCTTCCTCCTCCTCCTCTTCTTCTTCTTCTCCTTCTTCTCCTCCTCCTCCTCCTTCTTCCTCCTCCTCCTCCTCTTCTTCTTCTTCTTTTATTTTGCCACAAGAAGATGTTGATCTTCTTGTCTCCTTAAAACCCTTAAATCTACAAACCCTATTTAGAAAGGTAATTCATTAATATTTTTTTCTATCATTTTCTAGGGTTTAGGGTTTATCTAGGGTTTAGGGTTTAGGGTTTAGGGTTTAGGGTTTAGGGTTTTGAATTTTTTTTTTTTTTTTTTCTTGTACAGTTAACACAATATTTATTAATGATGTGTAATAAAGGGAGTAAATATTATTTAATACAAAAAGAAGAAGATTCTTTATTATCTTCTCTCTCTTTATTACATCAACTTCTTTCTTCTACTATACTTAAACCTGAATTAGGTAAACCCTAAACCCTAAACCCTAAACCCTAAACCCTTCATTTGTTTCTACTTACAATACAATTCAAATACCATACATAGTAATAGTTCTACGGTTTATGGCTTACTAGAGTTTATAAGGGTTTACTAGGGTTTAGGAATTAGGGTTTAGGAATTACGGTTTAGGGTTTAGGGTTTAGGGTTTAGGGTTTAGGGTTTAGGGTTTTGTTCTTAGAGGCCACCCTCTTCTGGACCCCCATTCCTGTAGAGGAGTTTGAGGAGGAGATACAGCAGCAAGAGCAGCTGCTGCTGCAGCTGCTAGAGGCCCAAGGGTATGTACCGCCGCAGCGGGAGCAGCAGCAGCAGCAAGAGCAGCAGCAGCAGCTGAAGACCGATCAGCAGCAACAGCAACAGCAAGAGCAGCAGAAAGAGCTGCAGCAGCAGCAGCAGGAAAGGCAAGAGGACAAAGATGCACAGCCTCAACAGGAACAGCAACAAGCCCAGCAGCAGCAGCAAGAGGAGCAGCAGCAAGAGCAGCAGCAGCAGCTAGAGCTGCAGCAAAGCCCTCAGACGTCTCCAGACTCAACTCGCTGCACAACTGTAGCAAATGAGGTTAGGGTTTAGGGTTTAGGGTTTGGGGTTGTGTGTCTCCTTGTGTATTCAGTAAACCTCTAGCTTCTTATGATTAGAGGGTTTAGGGTTTACTTACTAGGGTTTAGGGTTTAGGGTTTGTGTTCAGATAATGACTGCCCTTTCCCGTCTGTTATTTCTGAATGGCTTTTGCGTCAATGCACCGCGGTGCTTCTTGGCAGAAGGGGAGGTGAGGGTTTAGGGTTTAGGGTTTACTAGGGTTTACTAGGGTTTAGGGTTTAGTAGGGTTTACTAGGGTTTAGGGTTTAGTATGAATATGTTTGTTTTTTTTGTGTATTCTTTGCTTGTGTGTTCCTTGTCTATCCGTCTCCTTATGCTAGGGTTTACTAAAGGGTTTATTTATGTTAATTAGGGTTAATTAGGGTTAATTAGGGTTTATATAATTGGGGTGTATATACGGTATTTTCTTAGGTTCCTCCTAGTCATGTAATAGACCCTCGCTTTCTATGGGGAGGAGGGTTTGGGGGTTTTTCTTTTTCTTCTTTTTCTCCTTCCTCTATTCCTTTTATGTTAGCAAATAGATCTAAAGTTCTTCGTTGTCTACTATTATGTTTTGCTGGATCTCTTTCTAAGGCACGTACGGATTAGGGTTTAGGGTTTAGGGTTTAGGGTTTAGGGTTTAGGGTTTTTGGACCGTTTATAATAGGGTTTAGGGTTTTGACGGTCTATTATCTATATATTGGGTCTATAGGGTTTTTAGGGTTTACTTGTTCTAGGGTTTATTGTCTGTAAAAAAATTTTAGGGTTTAGGGTTTAGGGTTTAGGGTTTAGGGTTTAGGGTTTAGGGTTTAGAAGGGTTATTAATGTGTATAGACAATAGATGAATATTTACGGCAAGAACCTGCATGGTTAGCTGTATTTACAGCAGGAAGGATGCCATACACCGCAAACCTTTTCTGTTCTCTTCTTAGTTCAATATTTACTTATGATCCTCTTGGATATGTAAGAATTAGGGTTTAGGGTTTACTAGGGTTTATTAGGGTTTACTAGGGTTTAGGGTTTAGGGTTTAGGGTTTAGGGTTTAGGGTTCTATATGAATCATATACAATCCCTGCACCATTCATATTGCAGCTCTCTCCCTCTCTCTCTCTCTCCCCTTAACCCTAAATAAATAAATAAATAAGTAAATAAATAAATAAATAAATAAATGAATAAATAAGGGTTAATTGTTTCTTTTTTTTTTGTGTCTAGGGTTTACCATTTAGTAATATATTTAAGAATTCAATAAAAGAAGAATTTTTGTTGTCTTGTTTGTCTATCTTTCTTCTTCTTATTGATTTTAATCCTAATGTATTTGCTGACCATTTACAGGCAGGTAAATTATTTATTTATTTATTTATTTATTTATTTATTTATTTATTTATTTATTTATTTATTTATTTATTTATCTTTCTTCTTCTTATTGATTTTAATCCTAATGTATTTGCTGACCATTTACAGGCAGGTAAATTATTTATTTATTTATTTTATTTATTTATTTTATTTATTTATTTATTTATTTATTTTATTTATTTTATTGTTGTTGTTTGTTTTTACCTCTTTTTTTTATTTGTTTGCGTTTAGGGTTTAGGGTTTAGGGTTTAGGGTTTAGGGTTTAGGGTTTAGGGTTTAGGGTTTTGTTAGTGTATTATTTTGTTTGTTTTTAATTCAGGAGAAACTTCCGAATCAACATCTTCCCCACCGTAAGCTGCTGCTGCTGCTGCTGCTGCTGCTGTTGCTGCTGCTGCTGTTGCTGTTGCTGCTGCTGCTGCTGCTGATTAA